CCTTGTCGACCTTGTCCTCGTCGTCGGACTCATCGTTGATGGCGTCCTCGGGGATCGACTGGATTTGCACGCCCGGAGCATGGGGCAGCATGCGCAGATTGTCGAACAGGCGGTTCTTGATCTTCTCCAGGTACTCGGACGTATTCTGATTTGTCATATTGCTGGGACTGATGTGCAGCTTAAAATCGGGCCCAAAGTACTCGAAGTAATCGTTGTAGGGCAGTTCGTTGGCGATTTCCACGGCGAGGGCAACGGAGGTCTCATACGTCCAGCAGCGGGAGACGTTGCGAATGGTATAGCCACCACCGCCAACCATCAGGAATGGCAGATTATACTTCTTCACGAACTCCACGCACTTGCCGTGTCCCTTGACCGTGAGATTGAAGCAACCCAAGCGATCGCCGGTCAGCGAATCGGCGCCACATTGCAGCACCACCGCTGCCGGCTGGAATGTTTCCATCACCTTGCTGATGATGGGCACAAAGATGCTCTCATACGCATCATCATCCATGCCATCACGCAGGGGTATGTTAACCGCATAGTATTTTCCCTTGCCGGCGCCAATGTCCCGCAGATCGCCGGTGCCGGGGAAATACTCGCCGTACTTGTGGAAGCTCACGGTCATTACACGATCGGTGGTATAGAATGCCTCCTCCACGCCATCGCCATGATGGACATCTATATCTATGTAGAGAACACGCTGGTGGTACTTCAACAGCTCCAGAATTCCCAGGACAATATCGTTGACATAGCAAAAGCCGGAGGCCTCCGATTTCTTGGCATGATGCAGGCCACCGCCCCAATTGATGCAGATCTCCGACGCCTGTTTGTTCAGCTTAACGGCTGCCGCCACGGATCCGCCGGCAGAGAGTTGGCAGAACTCGTAGAGTCCGTCGAAAACGGGGCAATCCTCGCCCACATTGAAGCGCTGCATCTGCTTGTTGTACTCCGACATGTTGTCCGGCCGGATGGAGCGCAGGAACCGGACGTACTCGTCCGAATGGAACTTGGTCATCTCATCGGCAGTGGCTTTATGGGGACGCTGTAATAGGGGAATTTATATTTAAATAACCGTTAAGAAAGTTAAATATATAATCAGAACTTCAATAAAAATACGACATTTTAAAGGAATTTGGTTAGATCTTGAATATTTTAACTTGTTTTCAAATTATTAAACAAATTTCCGAGATAATTACTTGTTAGTAGAAAACATTTTTAGAAATCCACATAAATTTATGTTTTCCTTGTTGAATAAATTAAGTTTTAAGCTCGAATTACTTAGCAAAACATATACAAAATGTATTTTTTTACTTAACCTTTTAGAAACAGAACTTATTTTTATTTTAATTTATTGAAGTTCGATCTTATATTAATTAGTAACTTACGTAAATCTCCATTTTCCTATAGAGCCCATAGTTGAGCAAAAGGTTGTGGGTCATGCGTATGCGATGGGGCTTCATGGGATGACCCTGGCCATAGTAGTAGTTGCCAATGTCACCTGGAGAGCAAAAATTACGAATTTTAGTAACTTGAAAAAACAATTTTTTGCCACGCTATGCGAAATACAAATTTTACGGCCACAGTCGGCGAGGCGTCTGTGGGAGAGCAGCACTTTGCCGAACGACCGCTGTGGTCGCACTTTCGCCCGAACGAAAAGCAACAAAAAACACAAAGGGGAGTGAGAGAGACCTACAGGTACATACACGCACACGAACACAAGCGTACTGCGGGCGTATCGGAAAAGTGCGCTGTGAACCGGAACGCGCTCGTACAGTCGCCGTAAAACTGGAAATTTGCGAAAATGCTATCTTCGGAGTTGAGTATATGCGCAAAAAACACAAAATCGGCTTGGAAAACGTGAATGCTACTTTCCACTCATTATATTCTTATTTAATAGACTTCATACTTTATTTATTTGTTTAATACTTACTGTCGTAGTAGTAACAGACGCGTTTTTTGCTATGTGACTGCATTTTGCGACGCTGTCGGTGGTTTTAGTTCTCCTCCAAGTCGATGTTTCCTGGCTCTTTGAACCTTATTTTTTTGATCGGGCGGTCCCGAAATATTGAGGAGGTTTTCAACTTAGGCGCCGCTGCGGTGTTTGGCAAATTATAGCCAAGAGCAGAAAAATACGCGCACAATAACTACCAGTGTGACCGCGCGTAAGAATTGGGAACATATCGCCCGGCTTCGGTCGCATTTTTAAATATACCATAAAATATACCAAACATTTTAAATTTGCCATAACTGGTCACCCTGGTCACAACCGCTAGAGATGGAAGCTGATACCCGCGAACCAACTAGTCGATAGTCTGAACTACCTGTGACTATCGGACAACGGATTGGAATAATAGCTTAATTAAAATAAATTAAATCTTTTTACACATTCGAAAAACTTAAAAGTAATCGGTTAAATCAAGATCAAAAATATTTGGATACTACCTAATCGTTTGAATTGATGAACTGATAAAAATACAGTTAACCTTGCCTTCTGAGCCGGAATTCGGTATCTTATTAAACTGTTCAGCGGTCACTATAAAATTAATCTCAGAACTTTAAAATTAAATATTATTTTGAATATATACATATATTTAAAATATGTGAAGGCATGTTATGGTTAAATTAAATATATACCAGAAACCGGTTATTAATCAACGAGTGTGACCATCTCTGAATGTAAGCAAAAGCCTAAAAAATAAATATCGCTTGTTTGGGGGAACTATCGGTACTTGAAGCCGTTAGTGGATTTTTGATCTCAGTGGGGTTTTTTTAAAAACAAATCACTTAGTGTTTTTTTGCTGCTCCGAGCGGACGCGATTTTCCAGCGTGGGTGTTTTGTCGGCGTTTTTCGGCGGCTTCTTATCGACAAACAATAGTGCATAAATACGGAGTTTTTGCAGTGCGGAAAGGAAAGCTGAAATAAAAGCGATTGCTTATTGAAAAAAAATACACGGCAACGCGTAAGTTTTCAACTCCCACTGTTCGAGTGTGTGTAAAAAAAAGAGAAAGAAGAATGGAGTTGCAGTGGAAACACAAACGCGCTCTCTCGCTCTATCTCCCTCCCTCTCACTCGCACACACACACTCATGGGGCGAGTGAAGAAGTTGAAAAATTAAAATCGAAATAAAGTGACAAAGCGGAGTGGCCGATAAATGAAAAACGAGAAAAACAAAACGAACCCGCAGTGCCCATCAAAATCAAAATTAATAGTTTTAACAGACGGCTAAAATAAATATCCTGCGCAGCTCCTCTCTTTTTGGGTTTTTCTCTTTTTCCCGGAAGAGCGATTTTCGTATTTTCCCCCTTGCAGACCAACGCCTCTCCTCTCCCTCTGCAACTTTCTGTTACTTTTTGTTAACTTCCCCCCTTCTTTTTCTTGATTTTCCATAGTTTTTGTTGTTGTTGTGCCCGCAGGATATTTAAAACCTTTTTTCGCTGGCGTTTAATTATAGTTTTTCTCCCCCTCGCCTTCTCGCATCTCTTTTCCAATTAGCGTCGAACTTTTTGGCAAAGTAAAAAGCAAAAATACTTAAAAATTTCATATACATATGTTGTTTTTTGGCCCGCAGACCCTGAATTAAAAACAACATCAAGTTTAACTACGGTGGCAGGCGTAACTGTAAATTCCGCTTTGCTTTTAATAGCAAATGAAAAAATCCGCAGCAGAAGTTTTGATTTATTCTAATTAAAAAAGGTAAGTACGATGAAAAACCGGATTATAGCTCCTTTTCATTCGCACCTCCTTGGCATAAAGTGCCGTTAAGAATAGAAGCCAATGAACGCAAATAAGTAAACACAAAAACTAAAAAATACAGTGAGAGCTAGATTTGCTCTCCCGCTGCATTTCTATTTATGCTTCTGCTGCTGATAAAATGTACAGTGGGCCCTCGGAAAACAGAACAAAGTTTAAACAATTCAAAATATTTTGAATGATAGAATTATAAGAAAGTTTCCCAATTGGTGGAGACAGGAAATAAAAATATATCAAGTATTACCATTGTTCACTTTTACGAGTATGTACTGTATTTATTTATTCATTGCTCCGGCTGCTGTAAAAAGTCAAAGAGCATTTATGGTTGTTGTTGTTGTTATTATTGTAATTGCCTTTAATTTGTGGTGAATAAGGAGAGAAGGAGGAGCCAATGGGGAAGAGGGGGTAGAAAAGAAGAAGCTGAAGAACAGCAGGCGTCGGCGCAGCAGCTGCTCGTTCTATTCCTCTCTCGCTTTCTCCTTCTGGTTTATACCTTGTGCGCTATTTTCGGCATTTTGTGCTTATTTATTTACCTTTTGGTGGCTTGTTTATTAAACCCCCCCTCATGCACCCTCTACTCTAAATCGCTTCATGTGCTTTGAAGTTCAAGCCACTAAATTTGGTTTTAGTTTTTTTATTTGTTGATTTTTTTGGTGTTTTTGTAGCTTATCTGTTGCAGTGGAGTTTGCCTCTCTCACCCCAAAAAAATAAAAACCCTTCAATTAACATTGCTGCCGTCTGTTTTCTGTCTCTGCGACTCTTTCCCTTTTTTTCCACATTTTTCTCTCCTTTTTCTTTTTGTGGCCAACCGCTGATAAAGACCACAAATAGTTTGTCTTCTGCCTCACATTTTGTATTTACAGTGGCTATCGCGCAAAGGAAACTTAAAAAAAAATTTAATTTCCTTAAATGACAGGAAATACATTTAAAGTTCCAAGAAGTTTTTAAACTTATCGCATTGCTTTGTTTGATCCACACTTGATTTATTCTGATGAGAAATTATGTTGGAAAAACTGGGTTAAGGAAGGTTTGAAATAATTTTATTGTTTCGTTCAAGAATATATATAGATATAAATATATATTTTTATATATATATTTATATTATTATTAAATTTTTTAATATTTAAAGTACGCATGATTTTATTTAATTTAAAAACTATTCATACATTTTGTTTTACTTTATTACCTTTTCTTAAGATTACAATTTTAGAATTTTAGGTAAACCCTTTTAAGTTCAAATAGTTTTTTATAGCTTCTTTATCTAAGCCGTTAAATTCTTCCTGTTTTGAATAGTGCAGATTTCCATATTGTTGCTTCGCCAGCAGTCTCTTAGCCTTTGATTGGTGAGTGGGGATTTTAAACGAAGATTCATTTGAGTGTACAATTATGCTTTTTAACCTCTGCACTCTCTTATTACCCCTTTTTCTCCCCTTTTGACCCCCTCTTAAATCAATGCAAAATGGCAATCGCAAAATGCTCTCAAACAAGTAAATCAGCTTAGCTTGACTAACGGCAAACTTGTTGAGATCTTTTCATTTCTCTATTTTGCTCGCAGTTTGTTTGCCGTTGTTGTTTTTGTTGTTTTTCGCATTTTCTATTTTGCACACAAAGCGTTTACATGATACGGACGACCACAAAGGCAAAAGGCAATCAAAAAGTAGCGTGGCGAGGGAACGGATAAGGGGATAACACAGCGTGGGAGGTGCAATAAGGAGAATCCAAACGAATAAAAAGTAGTCAAAGCAAAAGAAGTGGCGGAGAAAGAAGCAGCACAAGTAGAAAATTCAATTGTTCGCCACTCTCTTTTGGATCTTCCTTTGTTCCTTTTCCCTGCCAGTTGTGCGTGTGTGAGTTTGTCCACTTAGCCAGCAAACAATGCACACAGCAGCAGCGTTTTATTGATAAGAAATGAAAAGGAGAGGAGAAAAGGGGCGAGAAGAGGAGACAAAAGTGTAGAGCTGAAACGGCGAGGAAAAGTGGAAAGTGCGTGGCAAGTGCGACAAATGCCATTAAATTAGAGATGATTGCGTGAGTGGAGGATATTCAAAGAAGAAATACTATATGAGCAAATTATTTACATTCCTCATGACTTTAGGAGAAGTTTTTTTTAACCTCTTAAATATATAAATTTTTGAAATATCCGTAACACAATTTTAGAAAACAAATAAAAAATCTTAGGGCAGCAACTTCATCCTGTGGTATAAGTTCTCTCTTAACGTTATATTATTTATAACAAAATCCAAATGCGGCCCAAATGTGAACAGCATTTTGTACAAACATCGGTTGACGGCCATAATTAAACGATCATGACTGGAGCAAAGTTTTACTCGCTCCCTAACCTGCCTTTCCCCGGCAGCGATTAACTTTTCCTCCAACTTTAATAAACATGTCAGAATTCGACTAAGATCGCTTTGGATGAATCCAAAACGGTCTTCTTTTTTGGATCTCACGCAGATGCAAACGAGTCCTTGAAGGGCCCAAACCAAAGGTTCTCCACATCGCAATTCATGGTTGAGTTTTGCCATAGGAATTGGGTCGTAAAAATAACGATACCACTGCAGAATCCCTGGTAATCTAAGCATCAAACAATTCCAAAAGCTAAGTGTTCTTTCGTATATATGCTTTCCCAGATTACATAAACACAAACACTCCTCGGGTGGCTGACATTTTTGAAAACATCCACATTGACGTTGTTGTGGTGGAGCAGTTGTTTTAACCAGCGATCGAATTCCCGACTTTACGGGGTTTTGATGTTTCAGCAAACTACATATTTTTATGCGAGGAGCAGTCTCCAAACAGGACTCGATTCTGCCCACAAAATCATCCACCGTTTCCAGTATAACATCACGCAACTCACTCCAACTCCGATTTCTCTTACAATCCAATGGCTGATTCAGTAGTTCACTACATAAACTGCCCGACATGGCGGCATAAAAATCACGGGCTGCTAGCAATCGAAAGCCATACATTTCCGTGGTATCCAGAGCCATGGCGATTGGTAGGGAAAGGTTACAGCGTTGCTTATCAATTGGCATAGGCTTCATTCTCATCATGCAGAGAAAATATTGGAAACGAGCCAATATCAGATTGGATAGATTAATATCCAGATACTCGTGCAGACGCCTTGAATCATTAATTAACACTAATTGACGCTGCATAATCAAGCCAAAAACCTCCTGCACCATGTGTAATTTAGCCAGTATCAATGTAGATAAGAACCAACCTTTGAATAGTCGTGTGGGTTCCATTATAATCACAGTAAATCCAGTAATAACTCCTTTTATTTCAGTAGTTTCGTAATAGCCCATACATGGCCAGTAAATCAGGGTAAATAATAAAGTTGGTACAAAAGCTTGCTTCCCAGATCTTTTTAGTTGATCACACCAGATTTGGAGAAGGCATTCCTTCATATCCAGATGAACTATGGGCAATGGGAATCTTTTTAGACATCTTCCATGATGCTTAAGGAAATAGGAAATTCCACTAAAACAGCCAAAGGTCATTAGATAGTACCAGGATCCGCCTAACAAATAATTTCCATATATCAAATCCACAAAAGACCCATATAACCAGCTGCTTGTTATACTTATTGAGAGTATCGATAAAAATAAGCAAATACGTATAGGAAGTTCATTGACTATACGCAAAATTCTGTTCGGATAGCATCGGGGATTGACATAGTGTATGTGGCACAATATCAAACCGTAACCAACCATGCACATTCGTATAACCAACATCATTATCGAGGTATAGACTGAAAACAAGGTCCATCCCAATATCTCTTTAAGGGAAAGCAGTGGTCGTCTCACCTCAAATAAATTAATGCACAAGAAAATCGCAAGCATCTGATAGTCCAACCATGAGCACAGTAATGTAGCAAAAAAAAAGCGATATAGCAATAGTTTCTTGATCTTTCGGGGCAGTAATATAAAGTACTGGGGCACAAAGCCAGTGGTCTCAACCTTTTGCTCCGACATTTTTGTATGGAAATAATAGAACTGATTTGGCACAAAGCTGATTTTATGTACTACGCCTGCTTGGGTGCAACTTGTAACCTTCTTTCCGTCAGTTTACTGTCTCAATTGACATAGTTCCCAAGTCGGTTGGCCTGGTCATCAATCTATTTAATGGGCTGCCGTTGACCCAACTTACTCCCTCGTTGAACCCCTCACCGCCCCCCTTTTCCAAAAGTTCAAAAGTTTTTATGCCAATTTAAAGTTTTTCTTTTGGTTACCCTAACATAAGGTTGTACTATTATTTAGGGTAGTTGGAAACTGGCAATAGTAGAGGATAAAGTCTGAGAATTATATTTACATGTTAAATTTTTCATTTTTAATGCTACCGCATTAAAAGGCCACCTAACTTTTCAGGGATTACGATTCTCAAATGAACAAATAAAACCAAAAATTTGATTTTATTTTCAAAAGTTTTAAGTACCAAAACTGTGAATCCCAGTGATATAATTGTATTTTCTAGAGTAGAGTGTTCTAGAGTTTTTCAGGCTTCACTTCCCTTGAGATATGTTTTCCCCGTTACTGTTGCTTCTTTTTTGTGCTATACAGGTGACAAGTCAGCCAGGACTAAGTGCAGCTAAAAATAAAGTTGTTGCCGCTGCAGGCATAACATTGCATTCGCAATTGTTTTTATTCGGCGAGCGACACTTTATTGGAGCTCAGCCACCTGAGAGGGGATCAAAAAGAGGTGGAGCTCGGTGAGAAGCTGCTCCCAGCTGAAGTTCTAATTTATGTCGTTAAGTTTTTTTTTGCCAGCGAGAGAAAAGTTTGCAGTCACATTTAATGGTCAAGCTGCAGGCGCATTTTCCACCGGGTGTAGAGCGTATTTCGAACGGGAACTGGACATGGACATGGACATGGAAATGGAAATGGACATGGACTTTGTGGAGGATGTTGCTCTTGTCCCCCCCCTTTTTTTTTGCTGTTTGCTATTTCGGCCTGTGTGTGACCGGCTAACCCAAAAGCTGGCCAGGAGTAGAGCGAGGCCCGGGGCCAATTAGATTTATGGGATTAGCACAGGTCGTTGGCTATAAAACACTCGCATGCTTTTGCAGCCGGGCAAAATCAACGTGTAAATCGAGACGAGAAGGATGGGAATCCCCTCGGCAACACACACACCAAATTCACAAATGGAACCTGAAGTGGTCAGATATGTGTGAGCACTGAAAGCAATTCTTATAATTTTATATATATAATTATACGTTTGAAAGTTTTAAACTTTAAAATTCCATTTGGGTTTTTATTTTGAAAATTAATAAATTAATGGGATGATCTAGATTTTAAAGTTTTTATAAAAGTTTTGTAACAGTTCTTAATAAAATGGTTACATAAATTGTAAAAAGCTAATCAAATATTTAAGATTAAAAACCTTCACATGTTACATATATATTTTTAAGTGGAACATAAAATAGATTTGTAAACAATCTGAATATATTTAGCAGAATTTAAACATAGTTATTTTCAACTTAGTTATCTGTGCACGCTGCAAACATTTGCATTGTTTGTCCTGTTGAGCTCTTCTATCTCCCTCTTGCCATATATCTCTCTTTATCTTTCTGCATCCAGCTACTGTGTGTTGTCCACTCCCCACTTAGCCACTACCTACTTCACCGCTTACCACTCCCCACTTCACCGCTTACCATCAGTGCACATCCGCTGGGCAACAAAACATTGTTTCATTTCATAAACCGCCGCCAACTTTTGCATCGTTCGCCGTCGTTGTCGTCGGTGGTTGTTTCGCTCTCGCACTCGGCGAGCTTTGTTCCGGCTTTCCCCTTCTGCTTCTTCCTGCTGCCCTCACCCACCTTCCGCCATTCGTCCTGCCCCCCAGTTACCATTCCCACGTCCTGTTTGCCTTGCCATTGAGAGGCCGCGACGATGACGCGTGCTCCGACCCATTCCCATTCCCAAAACCACGTACCGTCGCACACATTTCCGGACTCAACCGGACTGTTTTTGTACCCTTGAAAGAGGGTATTACTATTTTTACATGGCATTTTTTTTAGGAACTATTTAGAATCCTTAAAGTCCTTGTGGTGATTAAAACTTGACGATTATATGCAAAAACAGATTGTTAATATGCAATTCCCAGGTAAATTTGAGAAAAACTCAAATTTGTATCATTGAGTGTTATAAGAAAATAATTTTATATCCTACAAAAAGTTATAATTCAAAGTTATAATATCAATTGTTTGGGAGCCGTATCCTATAATCCATCACATCCATGGTAATAAGGGTATTCCTAATTTCGTTTCCCAAATATCACCGGCGTTACTTCTTTTTCGTGTGTTCGATTGTGTGAGCTTGCGGTGGTTGTTGCTTTTCCTATTTCTGCTTCTGTTGCCCTGCTGTGTGTTGGCTAGTTTTCGATTTTATCGATTTTCATAAAGCTGCTTTTATGGGCGGCATTCAGAGGCAGAAAGTTTGCGGCTCTGTTACTCCAATTAGAGCACAAAAACACATCCACATCCATGCTGCAAAAAACGCTCAAACACACGCTGACTGGCTGCTGGAGATGAACAATAATTTGGCTGCTGACCAGGTGAAGCCAAACATTTCTGGCATTCCAATCGCATTTTTCATTGACTCCGCTTCTGCGGCAGCTGAGGGGAGATTTTGGTATTCGCTTCATAAATTGAGTTTTTACTTTTTCCTCCATTCGAATATTCCTTTGTCGATGCATCCGACCGAGAAATAAATTTTCCCCCAGGTATTTATTCCGTTTATGTTGACGCTCTGAGGCCATAAACAAAATAATTCGAAACTACTGAGCGGATTATTTTATTATACACGTAAAATACGAGGTCAAAAGATTAGTACATTGGCAAAAGCTTTGAGCCTTGTTGTTTTCAATTGTTCAGCATTAAAAAACTGTTACAAAATTGTAATAATTTGGCAAGAAAATGTTTAAGATATCAGATATAAGTAGTTTAAATTCAGATTTTTAGTTTCAATTATGGGAAATTGTTGTAGGAAAGTTTAAATAAAATCGTAATTGTTTTAACTCACAATATTTATGAATGACCATTCTTAAATATATACTTAAAATAATAAAGACTTCATAAAAATGCAAAGAAAATAGTTTTATGTATGTTTGTTATGTTTGTTTACAATAAATAAATACTATTTAAAGTTCTTAATTAAAATAAACTTATACTTCGCCATATAATAAATCATTAAAGAACTTATAGCTTTAAAATATAATCCCGACGGCTCAATTAATACTTTCGCTCAGTAGGGCACATGTAATGATTGCCGGTCACGTATAAGAAAGTGCAGCTGCAACTAAAACTCGACCCAATTCGAAGGCTCAAGCCACTCATCCAAACTTATAGGATGACACTAAAATAGCGCTCTGCTTTGCGACTTAGTAAAAACTTTTTAATTACAAGGATCAGGACAATAAAAGTTTATGAGGCGAAAAGCCCTGTCCCGCTGCTCCGCTCTCTCTCTCTCTCTCTCTCTCTCTGTAATTTCTGGCAAATAAATAACAAAAGCGTGGCAAAAACTAATAAAACTGAACTCAACTCTCGGCTTCCAACCGCCATCGTAAAAAAAAAAAAGAAAACCAGAAAATCGAGTTGAAGTTGAACGCTTTTAATGTGTGCGGCAAAAACTTGGCTAATCCCTTCAAAGCGAAAGAGCTGAGATAGTCAATAAATAGGGAAAAATGAGACTGTTGCGCGTTTATATTGGTCTTTTGGCACAAAGTTTTGTAAATATTTTCTCGGACGAACCAAGAGGCCTGGGAACTTTGCTTATTGCCTGTGACAGGCCAACGAAATGGCAAATCGATTCCGAATGCAATCTCTGCCTCTCTGCTGGGGCTAATATTCAAATGAAATTTCCGTGCATTGAACTCGAAATCAGCAGTACAAGGTGTGAATTTGCCAGCCATCCCAGGAGCAGGAGCACTGGCAGGATGTGAATATTGGTCGGCGGCAGGAAGCAGCTTCGGGCCACCACCAGCTAGATAAATATAAACACGAAAGTGGGACACAGGCAAAGCCATAGCCGCAATAACTGTCTTGGGAGATACAATTCCCTCTGCCGAACAGCCCATGCACTGATAACAAAAATTATACAAAATATGAAATTAAATAATAATTAGTGATTCTTAGATAATCAATTATTTTTAGGAAAAAGCATTTGTTGTAGTAAATTTAATAGATTAAAATGTTTATCCTAATTGTTAGAATTTGTCAAAACAATTTTTTTTATTTGATTTTAGTAACTGGAATTCGATAATGATAATGTGACATAAATTTTGTTATAAATTTTGATGTGTATGCCTATATTTGGGAAACTTAGAATTGTTCAACAATACAAACTAATTTTTGCCATTCTTAATTTGAATTTCTTGGTTTTTCAATGTATATACTTGTGTATTTTCCAAGTGTACTCAGTAAAGAGAAGTGTGGAAGCTGAGTAAATTCGATGCAAAGGCATTTCCAGAATGACAGCGAATAAAGCAAATGCTCGAGATGCTTACAGCAACCCTTCATTCTTTACCCCATTTCCAACTCCCGCTGGTAATTCCCCAAACGCACGGCAAACTTGACAACTTCACATTTCTGTGAGGTCTTAGACAAACTCGCACACGCTTACACACACAGAGATTCCTCACTCAAAACCTTCAAATGAAATTAAAAAGTTAAACTTCCAGCTTTTAAGGGGGAGAGTCATCCCCTAACTCACATCTGAGTTTCTGCTTTCTAACTCTTCATTTTCTAGTTATTTTTCCTCCAGTGCTTAGAAGAGACATTAGCCGGCTACTTTGGTTGCAGGAAGTAGTTCCTTTGACTAACTCTAGCAATTTTGTGTGTGCGGAATAGTTGCAGAGATGGAACAATTTTTGTAATTAGTCACTGCTGCCAGGAATCTTTAGAGAGATAAATGTGCAAAACAGGGTCATAAAAACAGCTTTACAGAACCGTATCAAAAAGATACCAGTTATAGCAATAATTACGTCTAATTAAATAGATTAACTTATGCAAAATGCAAGGCTAGGAGAATTATTTGATTAACAAAAGGTGTAAAATCCCCTAGATTAACACTTTTAAAGTCATTTATAAATTGAGTTGAGCCATTTATTTTATTATTTCAATGTTATTTTTGATAAATTCCCTGACAAATGTATTTTCTTTAGCTTACAAGTTTTGTGCAGCATTTTTTATTTTTGCACCTTTATTCCTGTTCAGCCATTCATAAAGTTTTCTGCTTATTTGAGCACTGTTTCCATTTGCCCGACTATTTGTATCCAACACGTGAATTCCTTGTGACAAATACGTGATAAATTTTGTTGTAGCCTCATCAGGCAAACACGCGCGACATGAACTTAGTTTAGTTCTGAGGCGTTTTGAGCTCCTCAAATGCGCTTTGTGGGCTGGTGAAAAAATACCCGAGGAATGAGTGTTCCTTTCGGAGACAGCTACAAATTTTCATAGCATATTTCATGCTCAGCTTAGTTGGCATAAAGGCATGAAGGCGCCACACAAACGCTGGTAATAGAAAAAAATATAGAAAAAGCCAAAATAAAAAAAAAATGACAAATTTGTTTTGCTTTGATAGTTTCTATGGCAAAGTTTTGATAAAGTAAAATAATTTATTGAAATTTTCAGCTCCTCACACCAAATTGATTGAGGAAACTAAATTGCTTATTTAAGGCAGTTTTTTTCGGTTAAAAGCAAATAAATTAAAAAAATATGAAATACTGTTTTTAAATCATAAACTTGCACTGCTTCTAAAAGTAATATATATTTTCGTTCAGTATAGACATTAAACATTTGATCGAGCAAAAAACATATATTTTTTATAATCGTCTATAGAGAGTTTAGATACTTAATCATGAGACATTTTTTTATGGCAATTACAACAACTGGAATCTAGAACAAACTTTTTGTTCAGCACTTCCACTGATGAAGTAGTAATTTGTCTCCACTTTTTAGCTTGACTCGAGTTATTTCTTTGCAACAGCCTCAATTGAATGACTGTCCAAACGACTGACAAAATGTCACGCTGCGATTGTGCCGATAGCGAAATCTCGTTCTCATTTTCAATTGGGTGGGTAGAATTTTCAATGCCCCTCTTCTCGTGGATTTTCCCCCACCATTTTCCTGCTGCATTGCGCCGGAGCTTTTGTCTCAAGTGCA